GAGGGCGCCGGGACCCTGCGTGGAGAGCGCCGCCGCGCCGGGGCGGAGTGGCCTCCCGCGGGGAGGAGAGAACGTGGCAGCGGGCGCGGGAGCCAGGACGACCAGGGCCCGCCCCCTCCCCTGGGTTGCATCAGAAGGGAGGGGAGAGTGTATAAAAGAATTTGTCCACGGTGGCCTTTCAGTGACATGAGTTCTTCCCCACCCTCCCTGTTCCTCTCTTCTGTCCCCATTCCAGGAGAGGAGGGCATGAGACACTGCTAAGGTCCCAAAGATGATCCTTAATGGATGAAAGATGAAGGGGAGACGAAGGAGAAGCTTGATTCCTGGCCTGTGCCCCTGGGCCAGGACTGGGTTGTTCTTATCTGATGCTTAATCGGCCCATAAATCTGAAGTTGGGGTATAAAAATCTTGTTGTTAAGAAGGGAGGGCATTGGAGATAGGGATGGGGAGTCGGAATGGAAATCGGTCCCCTCGTTTCTGTTTCCAGCAGTTTCTGATGTCAGCAGAGGCACACAGTCCTTTGGCAACCTAGGGCAAAAGCTGGAGGGTGGTGTGTTAGCGGGTTGTGAATTTCACTGCTGAAGGCATTTGAGTGAAGAACCAAACCTGGGAAGCAAAACTTAGGTACATCTCAGTGCACCCGCTTCTCCACAGCCCATGGGGAGACACCTGAGCATTGTGTAAAGGTGTCTGCGAACCTTTCCACAGAGGCCAGCCTGATCCCAAATGGGGACCCGGCTAGGGAGGCAGCCCTGCCTGCTAGGCACCAGGCCTCCAGTAATCTGGTTCCTGGGGGTGGAGGATCTTCCTCTCCTGCTACCCAGAAAAAGAACACAGCTATCCCTGTGCAGATGGCGGCCACCAAAGGCCAGCGTGGTTGGTTAGAATTTGAGGCTCAGTTATACCTATTGTGAAGGTGCACCATCTGCCTGCTCTGATAAAAAAAGATCTTTGAACTTCAAAGTCCCCTCCCAACAATCACCTTTTATTTTGCAGAGAAGTACTTTCTCTTCTTGTTTGGGCCTTAACAATGGGGGCCATTGATGAGTTCAGTCTATTGTATTGCTTTGAGACACTTGGAGGCTGATTTATTCTGGGGCCCTGGGTGGCAGCCATTTGCAGTGCTGTTACCAGGGAGGAGGAAGAGGAGAGGTTTGGGGAATTGGAGTAGGGAACTCTAGTTTGCAGTCCTAAGGCTTCCAGTTTAATGCCTACCTCATGATAAGTAAGCCTAGTGGTGAGAGCAAGTGGTGATGGAATTGGTCTGCATTTGACCCTTGGATGAACACCTTAACTTCATTCACTTATTTATATAACAAACATTTGAATGGCTACAGTATGCCAGGCACTGTGTTAGATACCTGATAACTACAAAGATAAAACATTATGCTCTAGGCCATAAAGTACTTATAATCATACATGGAGGAGAGAGATGCAGGTAGACACAACACATTCTGGCTGTGATGTAAAAACCACAGCGACCACATCCAGGAGAAGAAGCCCCTAAGGTTTCAGGTTGGAGGGGGCGCTTGGGGGTTTGGGATGTCACCTGATCAGAGCTTGTGGCATGACTCAGAGGTTACCAGGCATACAAGCAGGGGAAGGCATTCCTGAAGAGGGAGCAGTCTGCTTATACAGGCTTTGAAGTCTGTTCTGGGGACTGAGGGGTGTTGGGACAATAAAGGGACAGGGCAGAAGTGAGAGGTGGGAGTGGAGAGGAGGCCATGGGTAGAGCGGGAAGGACTTCTGTGAGGTGGAGATTAGATGTTATCCTGCATGTGGTAGGAATGTCATCATCCCCAAAATTTGTCAGGATAGTGGGAGTGGCAGTAGGGCAGAGAACGGAACTGAGGCATGGAAAGGGGGACCAAGGGCAGAGGGTGGACATGTGTTCCTGAACCAGGCAGGCGGGCAAGGGTGAACCCAGACCCATGTGGGAGGTGGAATTGGCAGTGCTGGCTCATGGCTCAACGTGGGGGAGACGGGGAGAGAGGAATTGAGGGTGACATCCGGGTGTCTGGCTTGAGCCACCACATGGGTAGCGGACACACCACTCACCTATAAGGTAAATCCGGGCTAGAGGCGGGGGAGGTTGGAGGGTTGGAAATGATGGGTGCGGTAGGGGACGGGCTGAGCGTGAAAAATTGCCTCTCTGTCTACAGCTCCTGGTGCAGCAGTCCCCTCCCAGTCTGGGCTGCAGAGGGAGGAGCTTGGCTGGATCCAGGCAACTTTGTCATCATCATCTGCCCATAGAATCTGAAATGTGACAGCACTAAGGCTCCTGGAGACACCTAGGCCTGCGGGCTGTAACGTGGGGACCTGCAGGCCTCACGCAGTCACCAATGCACCGCACAGCCTTAGAAAGAAAGTAAATCACTTGCCAACATTTAACATCGGAGCAATTTCACATACAGACCCCGATTTCTGGCCTCTTTTGACACCCATGGCCCGTTATCCCATGTGGTAGCCATCATGCGGAGCAGAGCAGGGCAGCCTCGTTAGCGGCTGACAGGGCATCTCCAGGCTCCCTGGATGCTTTGCTTCCTTCTTTTGCCTGTTACCTGTTGGTTGAGTTCTCCATCCACCTAGGATCGGGATTATCATCCCTAGTGAGGAAAGACGCACTTTTCTCTCCTCTGTTCCACACAACATTCTTTGGAAAGTAGGTGTTCCAATTTACAGATGGAAAAACTGAGACTCAGAGAGTCAAGTCATTTGCCTAAGATCACACAGGACTAGAATCCAGGTTGATTATAGCGTTCTGTTCATCTACATCATAGCCACCTTTCCCTACAGCTCACGTTTGAGATTTTTAAAGAGAGAAGTTAAGATTGTAGTTATGCTTCCAACAAATATTTATTGAGCTCCTGCTATTTTTCAGGCTGAGCTACATCCTGGATGTTTATTTGGCATAAATTAGATGCTGTCCTTGCCCCAAAAGCAGGTCATATACACTGTCCAACACCGTTCGGCCTCTGCTGGTTTGAGACTCTGTCCCTCGGTTGGCTTTGGATAACTGTTGGGCATGTCACCGCTGTGTCCCCAGGACTGGAGCAGTGCCTGGCACGTAGTAGGTAGGCTGCGCACTGCACTGTGTTGAAAGGATTCTGCTGTGTGGCTGTGATTTCCTGGAAGCAAGATACTTGAGGTTTAGTCTTTTAGCCTTGAGACCTGATAAAATTGCAAGTGAAGGGACAAGTTAAAACTGTTAGTAACGTTTACACTTTCCTGAGACAGAGGAGCTTGGGCCGCCCAGGCTCGGGTAGGAGATGGAGACTTAAGTACTAATGAATTCATTTCCCATTTCTTGTTGATCTAGTTGATCAAAGAGTAACTGCCAATGAGAACTCCTGTCCATAGTAAAAAAAAAAAGTTGGAGTTGATAAAATTCCAGCCCAAAGCAAAGAAACAAATCCCTAATTAGCCTGTATAACCTCGTCCCAGGTAAATGGATGACTATGGTAAAAGTTTCTTAAACTTGGAAATAGCTTGCGGGTGTCTTTGAGGCTCCCTTCAGGGACGGCATCCCTAGCTTGGGACCCTCTGGCCTAGAGAGGGGCACTGTTGAGTTCCTAGCCTGAAGTTTGCTCTGTACGGGGCTTTGGGGTGAAGTCCAGCAGAAAATCGCTGGGACCTGGGCCAGCTATGGCACAGGAGCCAGTGGACATCGGCGTCTTCACCCTAAGAGCAGGGGGGTTAGGCTCCTGCAGCTGCTCAGCTGGTCAAGTTTCTTGACTACGTTCCGCGATGTCAAGGCTCTTTCATCCCCGACATTTTCTGCCTCGTCCAACAAGATCGGGTCTCCTCCTGCTTTAAGTTTCAAGTCTTTGAATCCAAAGTGGTAAGATTTAAAAAAAATAAAAAAAATCTCACTTACTTTTTGGTTGGTTTATAGAACCTTGCACCTTCTGCATCAGGCCTAGAGCCACAAGACATGGATTCTTACCCCAGTTGTACCAGATACTACCTGTATTGGAAAAGGCATTCAATGGCTCTCAGCCTCAGTTTCCATTACTCTAAATGAGGGAGTTGGACTACATCAGGGAAGACTGCTAGGTTTCATCTCCCAAATCAGCTCAGCCAGTGGGTAGCATCAGTCTGCAGTGACTGTGTTGAGAAGGATTCTGAGGCCACATCAAAGTTTATCAGGACAGAAGGGCATGATGATCCCCTAGTGGGGTCTGCCATTGGCACTGATTCGGGAGGAAGGCATGTCGCCCCTGGAGAAGGTAAACTTTAAGATTCTTCCCAGCATCGTCGGATCATTGATTTTATTTGAGTGTTTATGCATTTTAGATTCTGCAGGTGTTTGATCTCTTTCTGGATCAGGATCACACGAGCCTTGATAATAGCCTTGCGGGGGTTTTTGTTTGTTTGTTTGTTTTTAACTACAGGAAGATTGTCGATCGAATCGACAGTGACGGCGATGGCTTTGTCACCACCGAGGAGCTAAAAACCTGGATCAAACGGGTGCAGAAAAGATACATCTACGATAATGTCGCTAAAGTCTGGAAGGATTATGATCGGGACAAAGACGATAAAATTTCCTGGGAAGAGTACAAACAAGCCACGTATGGTTACTACCTAGGTAAGAGGTGCTGCAGGAGCGATTACACAGCTGGGGCCCGTGTAACAAGCTTCTCGTGGGAAACTGCTCTCATCATATCCACCCCCTTCAGGGCGATGTCACAGCCTCCTAGGTAGAACCTGCTTGTGTCACGTCCTGCCCTGCTTACTAAGAATACACTGAGTTGCTTAATTCTGAGTGAACTTGCAGGTGGAAGGGGGCAAGGGTCTAATAAAAAAAATGACTTAGGCTGCTGCCCAACCTGGATCTCAGAGTTTCACCTAGAGAACACAGCAGAGGGGAAGCAGGTCTGTGGTACAGTTTCAGAATGTTGCTGAGTTTCAGATAGCAAGGACCAAGTGGGCTGGAACAGCCTGGGAAGGCTTCCCGGTGGAGGTGGTTTGGGAACCGGGCCTTGAAGAATGGATTTATATCTGGTGAGACAGGGATGGGCACGGAAGGTGGGTTAGCCAAAGGGGCAAAGGTACAGCAGTGCATTCAGCAGTGGACAGGGTGTGGACATAAGACATAAGAATGATGGAGGAGTGTGTGCAGGGCACAGGGTGCAGACCCGCTGGGTGCCTGGTAGAGATCGCCAGGGGGAAGACATGAAGAAGACCAAAGACACACACTACACCCTCAGCCGGTTAAGAGAGACCTTGAAAGATTCGCAGGAACATTTAGACAAGCTGTCCTGGGTACGAGGGAGCCTCTGTGTGTTCTGGACAAAGAATATGATGAAAGCAGGGTTTTGCAAAGAGAAGTATGACATTAATATGGTCTAAAGCCTATGTTTTAACCACTTGCTGTAACGCCCCTAGTAAGTCATCAGGGCCTGGACTAGAGGCAGGTGTGGAGGGACAGGCACCAGAGGCATTCTGAAAGAAAATGTTTCAAAGAACTTGATAGGTCAGGACCTTTTATCTTATGTGTACCGTTTGCCATGAAGGAGGAGTGATCGGGAAGGGAATGCCTTCCTCAGCTGCCTAATTTTAATGTTCCTGCACACATCCTGCAGGAAACCCCACAGAGTTTCATGATACTTCAGAACATCAGACCTTTAAAAAGATGCTGCCACGTGATGAGAGAAGGTTCAAGGCCGCAGACCTGGACGATGACCAGACAGCCACCCGGGAGGAGTTCACTGCCTTTCTGCACCCTGAGGAGTTTGAGCACATGAAGGAAATCGTGGTTTTGGTAAGATATTTAAAGAGCCTGGGCTGGGAAAGGAGCAGGACGAAAGCTGCACCAACACCTTGTCCCTGGCTCCAGAGTGAGAACGTTCCTCAGCCTGAGGGGAGTTGGAGAAGGGCTGTGACGTGGGCTGCGCTGGAGTGCCTGTCCACCCAGGAGATTGGTCAGGGCAGGTTAGCTGCTGTGGCAAACAGCCCCCAGTCCTAGCCATTTAACCCAACCGACGGGTAGTTCTCGTCTATCCCTAGTCCAGAGCAGGTGGTCCCAGTCAGGTGGATCTTCTGGGCGGTTCTCCTCCAAGTGTGGTCAGGCACCCAGGCTACTTCCCTCTTATCTCCACCGTCCTGTGGCTTTGAGGTCCTCCTGGCCACTGCCAGTTAGAGATAAAGGAAGAAAAGAAGGAAGGAGGAGAAGGCACGGTCCGCCTTTACTGTTCTGGTCAGGAAATGACGCATCCCTTCCTTTTACGTTCCGCGGGCTCTTCCTCCACGTGGCGAGGCGGGGAGATACAGTTTAGTTGTGTGCCCAGAAGGAGCAAATGGGTCCAGTGAGCACCTAGTGTCGTCCCACAAGGGAACCAGAAAAGGACTCAGAAATGGGTTGTTAAACCATATGGAAACTTAAAGTGAAACCGCGGCTGGAAAGGATGCTCCCCTTAATGGTGAGGGATTTCTGGAGGGTGAGTGGATCGGACCCTAGGCTTTGAGGGGCAGCTAGTCTGGCAAGGCCTCCGAGTGTAGTTATTTTCCACAGTGTCTTCTTGAGTCCCAAATGTCTTCACTTTCCACGACAGTAAAATAAATGGCATCCCCTGTTTTCAGGGCAGATACCCCGAGCTAGTTCCAACTGTGTTGATGCTGGGACACAAACAGCTTGGACTATTTCAGTTATCAGTCGGTGGATGGGGTCACTCTTGCCTCGTGCCTCATCCTTGTGACCACCATGACCCTAAGGACTGGGCAGGGGCTCTAAGAATCATTTCTGTTTACCACCTAACGTCCACTCAACTTGCCGGAAGGCAGTGAAGCTGGGGAATCATCCACAGGGGACCACACGCTTCTGGACCGGCTCCCATTCTCGGGCCGGCTGTTTTCTTCAGGATGCTTTTGAGCTTCTGTGACAACGGACAGGAAACTCATTTAATTACTCACCCTAGGAAAAAACCTAGGCAAGAATTCAGATGTACTAAATACAGAACATATTATACATTCAGAAGTCAGATATATTCTCTAATTGTCCACACTTCCATATTTTTCTGACACCAACTTGGTGCTCACAGTCCAGTGAGCACTGGAATCTGTCTTTGTGATGGTTCATCCACTGGTTCTCAAGCTGGGCCCCTCAGGGTGTGCGTGTGAGGGTGACCTGGCTGGATGGTGGAGGTGGTCAGCCCTGCAGGGCTCCCTGATATCATCAGAGCACCTCCGGGCTCATAGGTACCTTTTCATTTGCAGAGAATGTTCTGCTTTTAAGATTGTGGAGTAGGGGGAAGAGGACAGAAGCCATCGCCTATTTTTTTTTAACAGATAAGAAACTAATGCTCAGGGAGGTAAGGAGACGAGCCATAAAAGCCGGACACCGGAGGACAGTAGTTAGAATTCGCAGATTTACTGGGAGCACAGAGCCATCTTGCGTTCTCTTCCCCTCTTTGCTTCCTAGGAAACTCTGGAGGACATCGACAAGAACGGGGATGGCTTTGTGGATCAGGATGAGTACATCGGTGAGTGCTGGTCTGGAGTCTTGCTCCATGCTCCCAACTGGGCAACACTCCTCCACCTACATGTCTGGCTATGTCCCCAGATGTCTCTTTTAGCAACAGCTACAAGTCTGTAGGTGTCACTCCTGTGACTTCCCAGTGGGAGGGACTTGTCACTCCAGCTCTAGTGGCGCAGATTCAAGGCGGCATTCCTAGTGGAGAAGAGCCCAAAAGGCGGGCCTCCCCCCTAGGCTGGCCAGCCATTGACCCCACAGCTCTTGAGAGGCACCCTTCAGCACACTGTGTAGCTCTACCTTTGCAAAAGGGGATTGGAGATCCCAGAGATGTGCAGATAAGCTAGAGTGAGTGGTCTCGGGGGAAAGACTCTAAAACAGACTGTTAGCCAGCAGGGCCTAGAAACTCTGAGTCAGCCGAGCTGTGATCGACAGAACCGTTTATATGCCCAATATGCCCAAGCTCTCTGCAGAAAGGCATTCCTTCTTAGAGAGGCAAATCCTTTTACAAAGTGCACCTCTTGTCCCATATTATAGCTGTTTTGTGCCTCTGGTTTTTGATCTTCCATCGGGAGGTCTGTACTTAGCCTTTTTGTTCTGAAGGGCCCCATGTAATCCACATCAGGAAGTGTGTTTTCAGATAACGGAGCACTGACTGAATGAGGCTCAAATTAATGCACGTGGGTCAGAAGCCGCCGCTGCTGGTTAGAGCCCTTCCCAGCCGCCCAGGGCCCTCCAAGCAGGAAGGACTGGAGAAGGCAGCCTGGACATTTCCGTCTCATCCTCAGCGGCTGCTACTTCGGTGCTTCGGCCCATGGTCCCAACTGCAGGCTGCCTTCTTGTGATAGCTCCTCTTTTCCCAAGTCTCACTAAAGTAAGAGCTGAAAAATGATTTGAGAGATGGGACGGATATAATTTTTGTGCAGATGCATAAGAGAGGCAGTTAATTACCAGAGCCCACGTTGCCATCAGTCTCTGGCCTGTGGTTGTATCATTTTGCCACCCCCATCCCACTCCCCGGCAAAAACAAGTGCCTTCAGTAATGAAGAGAAGAGTTTCTTCTAATCAGGAGGAATTATCCTTGGTCTGAAGAACCAAACACTGTTCTCCGTGTGTATGTGCTAACAGGTGGCTCTCGCCACAGTAATTAAAGCGATCTCGGTGGCACAATATCTATAGAATGACAAATGTTGACAGTCCCGCCATCAGTGCAGGCAGTGGAGCCCTCCTTATGCCTGGTGCACGTGCACGTGAGGGAAGTTTCAGGGCCTCGGACCCCTAGACAGTGGTGATGGAATTAGACTGACAGAGAAGTCTGACTGATTAAAACAACACAGCACTTTTTATTAAACGTGTGTGCTCTCCAGGCCCTCCTCCTGATCTGCATTGAAACCGTGCAACTTTGAGGGCAAAACTCTTTTGAGTGGCTTTGCCTAAAAGATACCTTCCATTCTTTACCATTCTTTACACTGGCAGAGAGGGAGGTGGGGGCATTGTTCTTGAAAACTGAATTCTGAGCGACCTGCAGTCAGAGAGATGCGATATCTAGACTTGTCTAGCAGGTGACTTCATTTACAGGGGTGTCTTCTCTGCAGGCAGGGACAAGTGGAAACCCAGGGGAGATGTGGTGTAGTGAGAGGAGCACAGGAATTAAGAGTCCTGGCTCCCCCACTTACTAGCTGTGTGACCCTATGTGAGTCGTGTAATCACCCAGAATAAGCCTCAGTTTCCTCATCTGTAAAATTGGAATACACAGTACCCAGCCTTATAGGAGGATGTGGGTCTGTCTTGTAGTTGAACCAAGAGTCTTGCCTCTCTTTTTCTTTCATTCACTATCTGCTCTCCCACTTGACATGTCCAAGCTGTGTTTCCATCAAAGAGAAATTGCCCACAGGGTATCTCTCTTTTCCAGGAAGATCTAGTGACCTAGCAAACAGTGGGTAAACTCTGTCTTCTTTTTCCTTTCCCTGCCGCTTTGTAAAATAAAGATATTTATCTATCTTATAAAACTGCTATAAGGATGAATTAAAATGATACATGTGAAAGCCCTCTGGAAATGATGTAACCACCCCCAGTGAACACAGCGGTTAAGACTGTGGGTTGGAAGCAGGGTATCCACGTTGCCACGTAGCCTGCTACAAACGCATCCTAGCTGGGGGTCCTTGGTGTTTTCATCTGTAAAGTGAATAACAACCCCTACTTCACGGGATTGTAATGAAAATCAAATGGAAAAAAAAAAGTATGCACTTTTTACTGCATCTGGACCATAGAAAGTGCTGGCATCAGTCATTATTATTAGTTGTCACCAGTACAGTTCCAGGCTGGCTGTAGAGGGCCTTCACAGAAGTGTCCCATTTGCTCTTCATCGTAGCCCTTTGATGAATAAATTCTTGTCTCCATTTTACAGACAAGGCAGCTTAATCCCATCACTGAACTAAGTCAAGAGCCTGGATTCATCTTCTGGCTCCAAGCAGAGTTTTTCTATTCCACTAGCAGCCTTCACAGTGGATAAATCATTGCATTATTTACCCAAGAAACCGCCCGCGAGATGCTGGGTTGGGCCTCTTGATTGCCGGAAGTTGGGTTCTCATTGCCTTACCTTCCTGCTCACCTTCATAACCAAGAACCGCCTTCCCTTCCAGCCGATATGTTTTCCCACGAGGAGAACAGCCCTGAGCCAGACTGGGTTCTGTCAGAACGGGAGCAGTTTAATGAATTCCGGGATCTGAACAAGGACGGGAAGCTGGACAAAGATGAGATTCGCCACTGGATCCTCCCCCAAGACTATGACCACGCGCAGGCCGAGGCCAGGCACCTGGTGTATGAGTCGGACAAAAACAAGGTACTTTCTGGAATCATTCCTTGAAGGCAGACAGTTTACGTAAGATTGGTTCTGCTTGCTGCTTTGCTGTTTGCCGTGGTCCACGCGGCTGTGTTCTTATTGATGTCTCTCATTCCTGCCTGCATGAGGGACCTGTGAACTTGAGCCAATGCCGCCATAACCCATGGTGAGCTCAGTAGGCCCAGAAGTTCCTGGATAGTCTGCTGTGGGTCACGCTTACATGCACTTCCATCTCCAAGGATTGCAGAGCCAGTCCCTTAGCTGGCTGTGGGCAGGCATGGGTTTAAGACGTGTGCTGTGTGTTGCCCTGTGCTGAGTTTGTTCATCCATTCATTCAGTCAGCAGGTACTTACCAAACATGTCAGGCAGAAGGAAGCAAGACATTCTCAGGCCAGATCACCGTGCCAGCTCTGATACCAGTGTCTATTGATAAATATCCAAATAAATAAATAAACAACGTATAGAAAGAAGTCCCGCCTCTTCCTATTTTGATCTCTGCTCCAGATTTTCGAGAGACAGTTAAACTTTGCAGTCAGGACATAAAGGGAAGTAGAATTCGTTGGGGACTTTTTTGGGAATGCCAGCTGTGTGGACATAACTGGATTCTAGCTTCTGAATTCCTTGAGAACTTTCCTGATATATTTTGGCACAGCTTTTATAGCAGGAGGCTGTTCCGGTTTGGGGTTTTACAGGGCAGTGATGGCAGACAAAGGAGGTCCATAGTGGGGTTTTAATTGTGAAATATATTTTACGAATTTCAAATCAATGACATTGTATGAGCGACATGCTGAGCGATTACTCGGATTTACCAGAGTTCCGGTGACAGCAGTTTCCTCTCTCCTACAGGATGAAAAGCTCACTAAAGAGGAGATCTTGGACAACTGGAACATGTTTGTTGGAAGCCAAGCCACCAATTACGGGGAAGATCTCACAAAAAACCATGATGAACTTTGATGCACGCACACCCTGATAGGACAGACTGTCACAGGCTTTCTTTATTGTCTTGGATGGTTGCTACAGTTGTCTCATTTACAGCAATTGTGTCCCCCCCAAAAGCAAGTTTACCACCTCAGCTTGGGGTTACGATTGTTTTTCACTCACTGTTTGCTGGAAAATGGTCATCGCTATTCTTTTAGTAAGATTTCTCTCCAGACACGTTAAAATCTTGGTAAATCACACTCTAGGGGGATACATTGCTAAAACATGACTTTTTAAAGTGTTTTCCATGAAATCTGAACTAAAGGGGAATATAATTTGAAAAAGCCCTATTATTCAGAAGTTGGGTGGGTGGAGAGGGGGCAGCATATGGAGTGACGGCTATGTATTTTAACTGCAGATTTTTTACATTTGCCGCTGTTAAATAATTGACGAGGGAGAATTCTTATTAAGCTACAGTTGGTATCTCATCCTACACAGGCTTCTTTCAGAGCAAGGCTATTTCAGATTCTTCCTTCTTGACTTTGTCCTCTGAGCTGTCACTGTAAATGGTAGATAAACCTCTATGCATTTTTCTGTACCGACCTGCTAATATGCACAACAGATCTACCTATCTTTGTTTTTTGTTTTTGTTTTTTGCAATAAGAAGCAATTAAGAAAGGTAATGTGAAAAAGAAAGGAATTTTAAAGGTAGGGAGGTGTGATGCGTGTCAGGCATTTGAAGAACTATAGGAAAATGATAAATGCTTTATTATACTTGAGAACTTTTTTTGATGTGGAAATGAAATAGATCTGATCTTTGAAAAAGTGAATAGAAATCCAATCCATCTCCTCTCTGATCTCTGATAGGAATGAGGGTGTGGGGTCCTAGGAGCTCGGGGACCCGTCTCATCTGGTCCTCTTGAATCTGCAACTCTCGGATCTGGCCTGGGACCACTTAACACCGTGGACTTAGGACAAAGTGATGTTCCAAGCCATTGGCTGAACTGGAAGAAATGACTTTTACAGGTTGCAAATCCACCTTATACATAGAAAGTGAATGAAATAAAGGCTCCCTCTGAGGATTTTCTACTGTGTCTGGTGGTATCTGACTTCACATGCACTCTCTGTGACATTATTCATTTGTGATGTAGACTTTAACAGTGGGATGAGAGGACATGAGTAAGAGGATAAAAGTTCTGCATTTAAAAAAATCCAATTATTAGAATGTTCAGAATATCCATGTTAACTTATTTAATAAATATATACATCTCTATGCTAGTTAGGGTGTCTGCAGGTCATCTTAACTGTAAGACCTTTCAGAGACAGGTTTCAGTTGGAAGAAAATCGAGCTGCTTATCAAGGCTTACGAGACCCTGCAGGATGTGGTCCCTTCCTGCCTCATCAGCATCACCTCCTCAGCCCTCCCTTCCTCCTCCCATTGCAGCCCCACTGACCTTCTGGTCCTCAGGCACACCAAGCTCACTCCCAGGTTGGGTCATTTGTCTTTGCTTTCCCTTCAGATTCAGAACACCCATGGTACACATCCTCGGGTCACTCAGATGTACTTCCTCAACAGGGCTTTCCGACTCCATTGTTTATAGCAACCCGTTTGAGTTCCTGTCTTACTTCCCTGCTTTATTTTCTTCTCGGTCTGTACAGATTGCCATTTATCTTTGCTTCCTAGGGCTGCTGTACACGTTACCACAAAGGGGGTGGCTTAAAACCATAGAAACTCCCACAGGTCTAGAGGCCAGAGTCTAAAGTCAAGGTGTTAGCAGGACTCTGCTCCCTCCAGAGGCTCTGGGGGAGGCGTTTTCCCTGTTTCAGGGGGCTCTGGGCGTTCCTTGGCTGCAGCTGTGTCACTCCACTCTGCCTCCATCTTCCGGCCTTTTCTTCCTCCTCCTGTGTCTCTGTGTGTCTCTCCTAAGGACACTTGTTACTAGTTTCAGGGCCCGCCTGGATAATCCAGGGTGATCTAATCTCTAGATCCTTAATTATATCTGCAAACACCCATTTTTTCCAAGTAAGTTTCACATTCACGGGTTCCAGGAGTTAGGAGGCTGACACATCTTTGTAGGGGGCCTGCCATTCAACCAACTGTACCATCTGACACTATCTTGTTGGCACACTGTCCATCTTCCCCGAGCTAGAACATAACTAAGAACAGCAGCCAGGTCCATCTACTTCCTGCTGTTTCCCAGGACAGAACAGTAGAGCCCAGCCTACAATAAGAACTCCGCAATTACTTGCTTAATAAATGAGAGGTTGTTAGCTTTAATCAAAGAGAATATGCCTTTAAATGTGAGTGTTGGGCGGTGGGGGTTGGGGGGAGATCCTGTAAAGATTTTTTTTTAATCACTAACATTTGCTGAATAAGAAGTTAAGTAATTTGCCCAAGATTCCAGAGTGATTAGATGTCACGACCAGAACTCCAATCCACATGTTCCTGGCTTCAGAATCTCTGCTGTTTAACACCAAATTTTACTGCTCCAAATCTCTGATACATGCTCCCTCTATTTTTTTAATCAGCCACAACATATTACATGGTCAGGAAATGAGAATAACTCTTCTTACCTAGAAATAGGCTGACACCTTTTTTTTTTTAAAGCAATGAGAACCCATCTTTTAAAAAATGAGAAAATATAGTGTAACCTAACTGTAAGTGTAACACTTTTAAAAGGTGCTATCATTATCCACCCCCCCCAAAAGGATACTGGTTGGTTTGTTAAGTTATACATAGTAAGATGTTAAATATATTTTGAGCACTAAGTTTTCCCTTTCAAGTCAGTGCACATAAGAAGAAAACTCTCAAAGAGATGAGTGCTTCTGGGGCTGAGTTTAACACTATTTAAGGAAAGAAAGCCTTAGCTAGGGGACATAACTGTTAACATGGTGATTTGTAAAGCCTTAGATTTCTAATAGGGTCTGACTGTTTCAAGGAAAACATATTTTGTTTCTAGGTAACATTTCAAGTCCGATTATGAACAAATGCTACAAAATTGATCTGTAATGGGAAATACTGTTATGTCACAAAGCATTATTTATATGCTTAATGTGACTGAAAGCATTAATTGCTAGGAGCCAAAATCTGTCCAAGCAAAACATGAGCACATATTTTATACCTCTTGTCTCTTACTGTAGACTTTTAAATGAATTCGAGTGTAACAAAAATGCTATTAGAAAAATCTGCACACCTGAAGGTTTTTCCTCACCTGCTTGGATTACTGTGCTGTTCCTTGTTAGCAAAAGCAGGAGTCATATCTGCTCAGAAGTGCCCGGCCAACAATAGCCACGTGGCTACGTGTTAGCAGCTCAGCAAAAATATCTTGTGGAGTGAAGTGGAGAATGGCTGACTGGATTTTTTTCTGAAGTCTTTCTAGATTTATTTTGCCACCTTTATAATAAAACCCAGCCTCTGCCAAGTACATGCAGCTAAGATTTGGCTCTCCCTGTATTCTTAAAACACGTTTACAGTGCTAGACTTTCCCCACTAAAAACCAATGAGTGCCATAACACCCACGGCTTTGGCTCACGTTGAAGTATTAAAATTTGAGCAGTGGAAAGATTGTGTCATCAGCACTTACTCATGAGATTTGCACGACCTTGGAGCTATTTCCAAGAATCCATCTACACTCTAAGTTCTGGTCAGTTCTGGAGTCTGAGACTGGGGAAACATACTCTACCTAGAATGCATCCTCTTAAAATTTTTCTCATATAAAATGGAAAATAGCGTCCAATTCCCCACAGAGGCACATGAACAAAAATGAATGCAAGGACTGGTTACTTTCCTCCCTTGGAGGTGTTTGTCTAGTGGGAGCACACAGCATTCCTTTTCTCCTTCATAAACACTAATAGCTGTACCAGGCACCATGCCAAAGACTTCCATACACCAACCATGTAACCCTCACAACAGCCCTGTGAGGTTGGTACTTGTGAGTGAGGATGAGGATGAGCTGCAGTAACAAACAACCCTTCCATCTCAGTTGTTTAAAGCAACGGAGGTTTAATTTTTGCTTTTGCAAAGTCTGCTGTGGTTCTGGGCCAATGTCCATGGTAACTGTGGTGTAGGACTCAGCAGTGAGTCTCCACATCCACCCGTGTCCACGGAGCAGTCACGCACAGCCAAGCAAATGTGGCCACTCCTGAGAGTGACCCTCGTCTCTCACGCTCACTGTCATTGGTCAAAGCAAGTCACGTGGGCACATCTAACTTCAAGGGAGTAGGAGGTGCACCCCCACAGTTGCTCGGGGTGAGGGGTGGGGGTGATGAAAACATTGGGGAGTGGCACTCCTGGTAACCAAGGGCAACAGTTACAGATACGAGAACTCTAAGGGAAAATAAGGCTCAAAGTTATGTGAGGGGACTATATGGTTGACTGGCTAGGCCAGGATACCTTTGCCAATGAAAGAGGGCAGTTTTCATCAGTACCTCCCTAAATCCTGAGCAACCTGCACTGCCCACTTTGGGATTTATAGACCCTTTTTGTCCCTCCTCTGACTGGGATCTACTTCCTCCTCCTGGGTTGAGGAATTCGTGGCCAAAGGGTTCAGCCCATGCAAAGCCCGGTCTCTGCTTGGGGACCATGCTCCAAGTCCCTGTAGCATCTCAGAATTCCCTGCCCAGGTAACTTCAGGCCTCTTCCAGAGCCTGTGTGTGTACCCTCCAAGTGCCTCTTCCAAATGGTAGACAAAGCCAGATGTGTACACACCTAGGCCAAAGGACCCAACGGCCAGCTGGAGGACTCCGTTTGGACATGCAGGCTGGCGGGTCCACATACACATACATGGAGCCCCTTGGTAGGAGGAAAAATGGTAGAGTGATCCACTGATCATTTTCCCTTCTTACTCCTACCCTGAGGCCCACAAATGTTAGGGGTGAGCGCGTCATGATGCTGGGACTATCAGGACTGTCCTGGGCACACTGGAGCATGTGGTTCCCCTTACAGAAACGGCAGATCCAGGATACAAATTCAGGTTTTTATAATGGAGGACCCCATCCGCTTAATCACCCCACTACGTTGCCTCCAATTAAAGAGCCTCTTGGTGAAACCACAGTTAGCATTACCACAATTTTAAAAATTGGTGGTAACACATGGTGTAATTTGAAAATTCAAGATCACTGGGATGAGATACAGAGCTGGTGACGTGGAAAGACGGGTCCACAGGCCTGGCTGGACTCGAGGTCTCACTCCGCCACCCAGGAGTTCCATGAGCTCGGCAGGCCAGCTTCCTCCCCAAAGGCCTGTTCTGACTGTACAACAGGAACTAATAATAATAATAATAATAATAATAATAATAATAATAATAATAATAATAATAATAATAATAATAAAACCCAACTCTCGGAGTAGTTACAAAGATGAGGCAAGTAATACAAATGGAAGAACTGCAAGGACTGAACAGTGAGATGCACAAAAAAGGAGTTTTCCCCGTGACCCTCCTGAGGAGGTCAAATGCCAGAGGTCAGATAGATCAATGCCTACAAACGCCAGGCTGCTGGTTAATGGTCTTGCCGAGATTTAGAATTCTTGCATGAAGTGTTTTAAAACCTCAAAATCGATCTATTACTAGGTGAAACTGCATTGATTAAATGACAAAGAATAGCTTTCAATGTTGTTTCTATCAATGGTGAGGGTATTCCAAAGCTAGTTATATGTGGTAGGGATTTGGAACTCAATTCAAAAGCAGATCAAGGAGTCTCTGCACATCTGAAAAACATTTAGGGACCAGCTGGAAAAGGTTATATTTTCAGAGAAGGAAACTGAGGCCCAGAGAGATTAAGCCTGTGCTTTTCCCTTTTTCAGGACTGAGGCAGAGGTTAGACTAGAACACCTTCCCCAATTCCAGTTTTTCTCTTTAAACCTTCAATGTTCTCACCTGAAAAATGGCAACAATAATTCCTACCGTGTAGAAGAGTAATAAGGATGAATCAAGGTAATGACTACAAGCACTTCGTGTGGTCAGTGCTCAGGAAACGGTAACCATTTTTATTATTACATCAAAGTAGGATCCTACATATTTCAGCATCAAAGACTTTATTTGTTATTAATTTTAGATTGCAACCCATGGCCTTAGTGACTGATGCAGATTG